AGCAAAGGACAGATCAATCCCGYGCTTCCTCTGGACGCTTATGAGACTCTGAGGCCTAGACAGCTTCATTATTGGAGGGAAGCGATCTCGGAGGGACACAGTGACGTGCATTGATCAGTTAGCTGCTGCTCCTCTGGGCTTGTGCTATCCGTCAGGAGCGATGGCAGTGTTCCTGCGCGTAGCTGTGCCCCGGCTAGGGACAGCGCAGCCCCTTGGCCACCAAACAGTGTTGTGGTGCACCCGCCATGAGGTGGGCTCTGAGGAGCAACAAGGTGGGGCTGGTGCACGGTCCGGTCTGCTGTGGGCCCGGGGTTTTCCCTCATGGCAGGGAAGGAGCCCTGCTGGCAACGCAGGAGCAGGAGAGGGCCTCCCGCATCCTCCCCTGCTGGCTGGCGCCAGGAGCCTGCGGGAGCGATCCCGTCACCCTGGAGATGTCCGTGCGCAAGCGCAGGAAGGCCCCATGCCGCCCTGTGCCCGGGAGAGACGGGCACCGTGCCCGTGCTGCCAACACAGAGGCCATCAGCRGCACACGGGGCCGCTCAGCGTGGCCTGTTTGCCCCATAGTGCTCGGCCTCCTCCTGCCGCTTACAGGTGGCTGCCGCCACTCACCTCACACGTCAGCTCGCCGCCCATGGAGCCAACRGCAGGCCCAGCGGCCAGGGGGCTTCCCAAGCAGAGGTGCTGCCCTAGCACTGCGTCCCACCAAGAGGAGCGGAGTCTTAATGCCCTCGATGGAGGTGCCGGTACAGAAAAGGAAATCCCCCAGATCAGCAGCCCGGGGTTGGGGCTCAGGAACCCCAGGTTTGTTCCAGTAGTGTCCAAGGCCTCTAGCTCCATGAGTAAAAATCCCCATGATTGCAAAGAGCCGCTTTGCTGGGAGCCGCGGCAGCGTGCTGCGTGCTGGGCTGGCGGATTAAGGGGATCTGGTGGCATTATCACAGCAATCGCCTCGTCCTAATGAGGCTAACGGGATTACCCCGGCGCGCTGGCGGGATTCCTCTGGGTGCGATTCTTCACACCCTWCTCCGCAGCTCCCCAGGGCGGCTGCGGATGGAGACGACCAGGAAAATTTCAAACACGGCTCGAGACCCAGTTTCCGTCTCAGAGGAGCAGCAGCACAGGGCCGGGTGAAATAAAAGAATAAGTTTGCACTTTTCATATTAGAAAATAATACTGGAAATGGCTCAGGCTTCCTGTTGAGTTGASCTAGGTGCTGGAGCTGGTTTTATTCCAGTGTAGCAGTAGTTTCCTGTGCAGCTCGTGTGTACTGTTGGAGGCGGTGAGCCCAGCGTGACTTGTGCTGGATTACTGCTTCCTTCGGGTAAGCCATGAAGCTGCAGGCTGTTCCGAGTCCTTTGGCATGTTCCTGTGTTACCCTGTTCCTCTGGGCAGGCCCCGGACTCCTTTCACTTCTGTCACTCTAGAGGACAGTGGCAATGGCTGGAATAATCCAGGAYGACGGTTATTCCAGCTGGGACTACACAGTGCCTTCTCTGCTGCAGTGCATGCACAGAGTGGTTCAGGTGCTGGGGGCTGAGGAGCCACTGCCACCCCAGCTGGCAGCCCCTCGCTTCGCTGTGCTTGGCTCTGGCACTTCGAACTGAGCTATCAGTAGTCACCACCAGTCTCTGTGGAAATGAAAGTGCAGCAGAAAGAGGGATGTTGCACGTGAGATGGATCKGCCACGGTTCTGGCGTGTGTCTTGGTGGTTGTATCTGCCCTGTTTCTGGCGTGTGTCCTGAGGKTTGAGCCTCAGGTTCATCCCCTGTAACCAGCACAGAGACCCTGATGTCACCTGTATTTAGTTGTGCATATGCAGTCTTTGGGAAAGGAGCAGAGGGGAGTAGGAACAGGAGCAGTAGCTGTATGCAGAAACAGGCTCTCGGTAACTCTCCTTGCTGCTGTTGCTGTTACATTCCCGACTTCTCTGCAATGCAAGAGGTGTTTCCACCCTCACAGCATTTTGTTAACTGACAGACTGGAAATCCAGCTCCATGCACCCAGAATTTAAGAGGGACCTGCTCTGGCTTAAACCAAGCAAGTGCTCTAGCTTAAACTAAGCAAGCAGTGATCCTGCCTCTTGGTATAATAGATTGAGATTTTCTGTGGATTATCCAACCTGACTTGTGGGTTATGAATTCAAAGGAAGATGAATGGATGTGTTTTTACCACTGTGCATAGTGAGGCTGTCTGTTTGCAGAAATAGGATGCTTTTCACAGCATTTTGCAGATTCAGAATCATTTGTCCAGTTGCAGAAGCTGAATGCCACACCGAGCCGTGTGTGGAGCCAGGGAAAATTGCGTCCAGCTTGAGGTTTGGTTATTTGTCAAAGCCCATCGCCAACTTTAAGCTCAGCTTGAATCCAAGCTTTACCCGAGTGATGCTGAGCAGATCTGTGCATCAGAAGCACATGGGATTTAGCCATTTGAGGCAGGAGCACRAGTTTTTGTTTGATTTTGGCATTTGTTATTTTAGTGACATATTGGAAGTCCATTATTTAGTAAAAAGTGTTTTCTCAAAGGAGGAGTTGGAGGTGGAAGGAACCCCCTTTGCTGTCGTTCTGGGTACCTGGCCCTGCCAAGGGAATGTTTCTGGGTGTGTGGAGATGAGCCCTGCTCACCACAGAGCTCTGTGGCTGGCTCTGCAGCATGGCTAGAGGGGCTGAGAAAAGAGATAAGATAGTAGCAGAGTTGGAGGGGCTAAAGAAATGAGTAGGTATCCAGCAGTGCTAAACAAGCAAATGCTTGTGAAAAGCTCTAGGAATGCAACAAGCTCTGCTGAGTTTTGTGAAAATCCTCCTAATAAGTCTGATCTTAAATCATTTGGTTAAGGAGGGCACCATCTGGTTAAATGGGATTTCTGATTCTCTACAAAAGATGTGCGGATCTCCCTGGAAGAGGAGGCCACGTGGGCTTGGTGGGGGCAGGTAGATGGGATCCCAGGGCCTGGCAGGGCTCTCCCTGCTCCCTCTGCTGCCTGTTGATACCCASACGGAAAGGTGAGTCCATGCCAGGGCTTGCCCTCTCACTTACAGAAATAAACCTCCCAATAAACCACCCAATAAAGCCTCGAGCGCCGGCTGTAGCTGTTGGAAGTCTAGGATTGGAGTCGATAAAATCAATATTTCTTCAGGTTGATAGAGTTTCTCCCTCCAACACCAAACTGACTGAACAGTAAACAAGCCAGCGGACAAAATAAACACGTCGGCGCTGCAGGAGAGGGGTTAACTGCCTTGGCACCCACAGCTATCAATAACGAGGGAGGCCGTTTGGGCCTTTTGATGCCAGCCTGGGAAGGTGTTGGCTGCTTTGCTGTGATGTCCGTGGCGGGAGCAGAGAACAGGCCCGTGCCCCGAGCCTCCCAGCTCTGCTTTGCAAGCATTTTGAGATGTCTCTCGTTTGCAGAGCATATATTTGTTATGTAATAAGTGCCAGGAATTAATGATCCACAGCGCGGCTGAGGAAACTTGCGTGCTAAGCACCCAAGGAAAAAATAACTTCTCTCTCTTTTTTTTTTCTTCCCTTTTTTTTTTCTCCCATCTCTTAAATCACTGATGGAGCCATTAGGACATGTGTTCCTTAAAGCAAGAATGCCCCAGCCCGCTGGGCTCGTCCGGCACGGCTGAAATCTAGCAGGAGTTAACGCTGCTGTCTCCTTCCCAGCTTTTTCCCTTTGGAAAAGTAACGCTGCTACCTCTCCCGTTATGAATCATGAGGTTAGCAGCTTTTGACAGATCATAAATCAATGCTTCGAAGTCACTAGGACAAATCCCAGGACATTTAATCTTTAATATTAGACGTGTTTAAAGCGGTGAATATTTCATGAAGGTGCTGTTGCATTTTAGCACATCATTAGCTGTCTCTTTTTTTCTTCTTCTTTTTTTTTCTTTTTGCCTCCCTGTTTCCAGGCGGTTCTCCTCAAAAATCTCACCAGTTGAACCCCRTTCCTTTCCCTCCTGACAATAAAGCTCTTTACTGTAATCCCTGCGAGACATTTTAAGAACTTGCTTAGGAACCCGAAGAACACATAGGTATTTGTCAGTCTGCATTAAYTCGGTGACAGGGGCATCCCCGCTGCCTCCGTCACAGCATCTTCCCTCCTTCCTCAGCACCCTGTGGGTGACAGCAGGGGTTAAGCTGCTCCCCTGGCTCTGCGCCTTGACCAGGGCTTAAAGCTCATCCTGCCACTCTGTGAGGCATGAGTGTGATAGGGAGAGGGAGTAGGGGGAAACAAAAAGAATCTGGTAACCAACATTCAGTGTGCAAATCCAGATCTTTTTATTTTGCTGTTACTTGCTCCAGGATAGGTGTTTTTACCAAATATGGAATCAATTTGCCRAAAAGGTTCCGTGTTGTGCTGTCAGAAGTGTGTAACAGGGTGAGCAAGCATAGAAGGAGAAAACAGGAGAGCTGGGAGGTGACAGGGACCAAGAGCCCGTAAGCACCAGGAAGAGACACAGAAAAGGGTGCTGAATACAGAAGATAGAGRCAGGGTGGCCTGGGAGATCAGATCTTTCTGCACTATGTTCCTGCCATGGAAACAGAGCCAGAAAAGCTGGGAAGGAGACACCTCTGGCACTGCTRATTTTGGGGTTGGGAGAGAATTTACTCTCCCGACATGGCAGGAGGTGTTATTAGGGGAAGAGATGAGAATGGCAGCTCTCTGCCATCGTGGGTCCAGCACGTTGCAGGCTGAACTGCAGAGGTGCACAGGAACACAGGAGGAATCTCATCTGCAGGAGTGCACAGGTAAGGACAGAAGGAATCTCATCATGTAATCCCCTTCATAAAAACCTTTTCTTTGTATATTTTATCTTTCTGCATTTCATCACCTGGGTGCTTCAGGAGAATCCAGATTCTTTTTTTTTTTTTTTTTTTTTTTTTTTTTTAAATCCAGGAGCAGGGAAGCCTGTGAATGACAAGGATGAAGTGTCCAGTGTAATGATTTCTCACATGCATCTTGTAGAAAGAAGTCTGATCTTTTCCATTTTCCTTTTCAGGAGAATGCAGCTGTCATGAAGGTTATGCCCCAGACCCTGTCCATCGTCATCTGTGTGTGCGCAGTGACTGGGGACACAGTGAAGGGTGAGTGGGAGCTGAGCTCCCTGTCTAAAAATATTCTTTCTCTCTCCTAACCTCCTAAAGTCAAATCTTCCCATGTCTATCACCAGGGGCAAATCCTGGGGCACAGTTATGTGGTGTTCTTCCTGAGTGATGTGATCTGCTTTCTCTGTCTCCTCCTTTGTCTCCTAGACCTTGGCCCTACACCACACTTGAGAGGGGATACGATTTGGTCACAGGAGAGCAAGCGCCGGAGAAGATCCTCAGGTGAGTTGAGTGACTATTCATCCCACTTGTCTGGGAGATGTGAGGACTCCCACAGCAGACTGCTACCTCCTAGTCACTCCCCGCTCTGTCCTGGCGCATGTTCTGAGGCACTCTGATCTTATTTGCCCATGGCAAACCTTGAAAATATGTCTATATTCTGCCAAAGGAGAAAGACTTTCCCTCTCATGCCGTGTGCTGGGTGTGCATCTGAGCAAAAGTGAGGACAGTATGCGCAGAAAAATCACCTGCATTAAAAGGACCAGTATGACCTACCTCCATGCTCTCCCTGTCATATCTTTAGCTATTTCTCTTTTATTTGTTTGCACTGGTCTTTTGGTATAAGATCAGGAGACTAATTAATCTGGTTATGCCACTGTTGCTCTGATTTCCAGGCAATCAGATGCAGCAGAGGTCCAACATTTACTGTAGATGCTATGTTTCTACATGGTAAGTTTCTCCTTGTTCCAGGTCCACCTATAGTTTGGGTCAAGGTCTGTGGCTGCCTGTCAGTAAGAGYTTCGTGGTACCTCCTGTGGAGCTTTCTATCAATCCTCTCGCCAGCTGCAAGACAGATGTTCTGGTAACAGAAGATCCAGCAGATGTCAGGTAGGAAGCAGATTTCTCATTTTGTTCATGCTTGAGTTGCTAGACAGTTCTTTAGATTTCTGTTGAGATTGTGGTAATTTCTGGGACAGTAAGTTTGCTTACTTCTTTTTTCCAATGAGAAACCTTTTATGACAGGTCCATCCGTCCTTTCTTTTGTCTTTTTTTTTGTTTGCTTTTGGTGGGTTTTGGCCAGGCCCATGTATACAACTTTCGATTTAGTCAAGTAAATTTTTGCAAACTGTTGGTGAGGCAGTTTTTGACTTAAAGCTGATGTTTGATTGAACAGCTTAGAGATGCATTTGCCAGTACAGAGATGCCATCATGTTTCAGAAACTCATATGTATGTTGCACACAGCCAGCCCTAGATAGTCTCCTTTGGTGATCATGAAGGACTAGGATCAGACCTGGTGGAAGGCTGTGTCACTTGTCCAATAGCTATCTTAGAGTAGTGTTGATTTTTTTTTTTCTTCCTTGAGTTATATAAATGCCCTGATATTTCTGTGGCTTCCCTTTCTTGGCTAAGTTGTCAGGGAAGGAGGAGAGGAGTTTGTGGTGTGGGGTCTCTCACTTACACCCTCGTAAATGAAACCTGAATTGAGAATACCAGATATAAATATTGGAGTGACCCAGGTAGAGTAATGGAGGCAAGTTCAATGAGCTTGTATCTTACATGCTGGCAGTGCTGAATTATTAAAACTTTAATAAAYGTAATAATAAATATTTGATGTTGAATTATGGAAAGTTTCACAGATACAGTGAAAACCAAAAAAACGATCTATTATTTCTGCATTAGAACTTAAACACTTCTCAAACAAGGATCAGGCAGGCGGCTTAGGGTCCTGAATACCCTGTGATGGATGGAAATCAGGGGGGCACCATCTCATCTGAGTACTGAARGTTAATGGTGGGAACGGTGCGGCAGGTCTACGCTTGGGTTGCTCAGATCCACCGCAGTTTGAGAGCAAGGACGTAGCCTTTCCCAGTGCCCACGAGCACTGTTTTGTCCCATGTCTGTGCTGAGAGTGTCCTGTGTCTGTGGCTCTGTGTCTGTGCTGAGGCTCTTGTGCCCTTCTTGCTTAGAGAAAACACCCAAAAAAGGTGTAAAGGTGTTTGTCTTGCAGCGTCTTTGCTTTGTCCCTCTGCGCAGAGATACTTATCTTGGCAGTGTGATGCAATGGTTCTGGGGGGTTCTGTTTTCCAGCCCGTGGTCTATAGTGTCTGTCCTACCTTTGGCCGTGGATGGGGGCCATACAATGGCACAGGTATTCAAACCGAGGCAGGTCTCTGCGTTTGGAGGGGCCCGTTTGGGCTGTGAGATGGCAGTGGTGTCACTGCCCCTGCACTGGGGGCTCCTCTGGGTGGAGATGCAGCTTTAGCGCGGCCGTGTCTCAGCACCAGGAGCTCATATCCTGCTCTGTATCCGTGCAGTGGGAACACATCCGTGTCTCAGCACCAAGGGCTAATATCCTGCTCCATATCAGTGCAGTGGGAACGCAGCCATGTCTCAGCGCTCTGCGTGTCCTGCCTGCTCTCCCATAATCTTGTGATGGCAATTCAGCCTTGTATTCCTTCTGTGTCATTAACAGCAAGCGTGCTGCATTCCTCCAGACCTCTCATTAGTCTGACACCTTTTGGCTAAGGGGTCACTCGTCTTGAAGACTTTAATGGAGGAAAATTGCAGAACGCCTGGTTTGGAGAAAACAACCGATGAAGTCTGTGCAGCTCAGAGGGTTAAAGGTTTGAACGTGGCTGTGTGTTTTTATGAAGCTGTTTGAGACTGCGGAAAGGACAGGTGGGGATCTGCTTTTCAGCAGCTCTCCAGAGAAATGCTGACTCCCTGCTGTTGTTCTGAGCAATATTGTTCTCAGTGTGTTTTGTTGCTGAGTAGTGTTGTAAGATGTATGCAAGGGTTTGGTGAATTGGAACAAAAGGAGCGGGCTGCATTTCAGTCATTAAAGAAACTTCCTGGGGATGCAAATGAAAGGTCCACACAGAAGCATCCTGGCACCTTAGCCAGGCAGGATTGCTGCCTGTGCCCTGCATGAAGGTTGGAGGCGGCAAGTCCTTACAAGCAAACTAGATGGTGATGATTTTAGGCCTCATATATCATATATTAAGCACAGGGTTTCTCTAGGAGTTAATGAAACTTGAATGTATTATGTATGAGTAACCATATTAAACATCCCCTCCTCAACCCCAGAGCGTGACCCTTTGCATGTTGATGACATCGCTCGCGCATAATTGCAGCCGCGCTAACGGTGACATCTTTGCTAACACATTCCATGCACCTTTCAACAAACAGSCAGTGCTCAACCCCGCGAGCGAGGCGGGAGGAGATGGCAAGTGCCCCGTCATCTCCCACTTCCCTCGCGCGCTCGGCCGTCGCCGCCGAGCCGCCCTCCGCTCGCCTCTCTGCAGCCGGGTGCTGCACGGCCCGGCGTTGCCACCAGCGCTGAGCAAAAGTTTAAAATTTCTCCAGAGTAGCTAGAAACCACGGGGGAAGCCTAAGGTGCTGCCTGACGTGACATATAGCTCTATCGTTATGGCAACCATAGAAACAAATAAAATCCCTGCTTTTGCTTGACAAGCCTTTGAGATGTCCTGATGGAGAGACAAGTGTTCAGCAGAAGAATGAATTCTCTTGAACTCGCTGTCAATTCACCTTTGTTTTGCTCCCAAGTGATCCCCTTTGCTCTCCGAATCCTGGCAAAGTATAATCAACAGGCAGTGTTTTGTTTTTTTATGTTATATATATTCTTGTTTCGGTTGYTAGTGCAGCGCATGGTGTGTTTGTTCTGAGCACTGCTGTGCTGTGCCTGAGCTCCTCACGTAGCTCCTCACATTCAGCACAGGGCTGAGCTTTTCTTCCCTGCCCAAGATCCGCGGCCACTGGTGCAAGTGTCATGGAGACCTTTGCACGAGCTCCTGTGTGGCACCTGTGGACGATGCCCTTTCCGGGGCTCCATCAGCAGCCGTATGAGAGCAACTGCAGCAGCACCAGGAGCAGCTACAAGTTTAGCAGTTGAGTGACTGTTGTTCCTGTCACCAATGGTGCTGCAGAGCACAGGAGGGAAGCAAAACMAGAGGAACAGATTTTGTTGATATATTTATCGAGACAATTAAAAAAAAAAGCCAAACATGCAAATGTTTCCTCACGCCCAGATTAATCAATGTTCCCTTTAATGTAGCTGAGATCTCTCCCTGCTCTGCAGCTTCTCTTGATGCCAATCCTGATGCCAGGTTTCCTCTTGTGGTTATTTTCTGCATGTTGGTCCATGAGGGTTTGTGGCAGGGACGAGGGTGCCCAGCCCTGCTCAGCRCCCTGCTCTCCTCTCCATCAGCTTCTGGGAAGCTCCCATTTTGCTCCAGCAACAGCTGGGCTCGGTGGTTGAGCAGGATCCTGGGGCAGGCAGTGGATTTAAGCACTGTGCTGATATGAATACATGATAAAAGAGGGAGCTGCAAGTTAGCAGAATCATACTTCGGGTTTCTTCAATGTTTCTCCTTCCCTATTTGATGGTGAGGTTTGTTTTTATGTCTCTGCCTTTGCTTCCTGTTAAACATCGTCTGCAGCATGCTTTGTAGCTGCCTGTTCAAAGACAGCGTGGTCCCTGTGACCTCTCTGTTTATAGAGAGAGAGCCTTACTACAGTGTTTTATCTTATTTATCTTGTTTTTCCACTCTGTCTGAGGTTTGCTAACGCTGCCTTTGTGACCATCTCCCTGCCTGTGGCGGGACTAGAAAATTCACGGGTGGGAGAGAGAGCAGCGAGTTTGTCCGGCCAAGACTTTTTCCCTCGCTGTGATGTGTGTCCTACCTCACACCACATTTCACCCTATAGATTACCAGCAGAACCAGGGAGCAATATTCTACCTGTCGGCCTGCAAAGCACAAACCCAATGGGTGACAGTTCATGGTGTGGTCACCCAGCAACCTAGGGCTTCCTGGCCAAGTCAGGTCTTTCCTCACCTGCTTTTCCATAACTTAGCCATGAGCTTTCTTCCCCCAGACGTAGAAGATGTGGTCCCCTGGATACACAGCTCGTTGCACCAGCTTGTGCCTCATTACCATCTGCACGGCTACCTGAGCTCTGCTGTGCCAGAATCCCACAGTTTAAACTGGCTSTTCCCACAGGAATGAAAGGAGATGTTGACATTAATTTGTCCATTTCATTGCTTTTTGAATATCTCCATAGGGGATACCTGAGATGGGAACCACCCCATCTTCCCACATTTCAGTCCATCCCATAGAGGCAGCTGGAAGCAGATACCACCTTCACTGGCCTCTTCCTGCCCAGGAGAGCTATTCTACCTTCTCAGAGTTTTACCAGGACTCTTGGGATCCTGTGATTTATCCCTGTAGTTCCTGGACAGAACAATCTGCTGCAGTCTGTGCACTGTCTTCTCCCTGCCTTACAGAATAGCTGCATTGCATCACTTAAACCTGCACCCTATATGAGCGAGGGCCTAATGGCTTCTCCTTTCCCTCTGCTGCTACCAGCACTTGGCCCAGATTCTCGGTCTGCAATCCCAGGGGCAAAAGCTTTTTTTTGGGAGGGATTTGCCAGCCTTTTAGAAAGCATCAGGTCACTGCAGAGGGACTGGAAYGGAACAAGTGGTGATGGGGCGGCAGGGGGGTGAGTGACAAAATGCACTTCACTCATATGAAAGAAATAATAATATGATTTATTAATATGGGCAATGATTTCATGAGATTCTATGGCAAGGTCGCTTATTATTTACTGCATGGAGGCTCAAGATAATACACAATTATCTTGGGATACCCTCTCGTTGGGTCACGAGGTTCAGATTGGACCCCCTTGCTTTCCAGGCACCCAGACTCCTGAGAGGAGTCTGGGTGCGGCTGGATCCAGTCCTAGTCCCAGACCTGGTCCGCGGTTTATGACTAAGGGTTCTTGTGCACATCTACAAAGTAAAGTTAAAGAAAGAGAGTGTGCTGTATTCACTTACCACARATCTGTTGTGGAAAGGCATCTCTCAGGCTCGA